CCCCCCCCCCGCGGGGCCGGCAGCCACGGCATCAGCCTGCAGGAAATCCCCCCAGAGCGGCGCCGGAAGCTGGAGAAGGCGAGGCCTGGCCTGTTCCAGGGACAGTGAGGCCCGGCCCAGGACAGGTGCTGCCCCCTCGGCTCCCACACCCAGCTGCCATCTCCCCTCAGACTGGGGCCACACATCTCTGGGGGATGCTTCCTAGGGGACAGACGCCGTTCGCCAGCCTGAGGGCCTAAGCTCTGCCTGCAGAACGTCCCCCCAGGTCCAGGTGTTCCCGTCCGTCTCTGACTTAGTGAGCCCAGGCTGGATCCTAAACCCAGGGATTTGCTTTGGGAGGAAATTTGGTTTTCCTTTGGTAGGATTCTGGTTCAGTAGGTCTGGAGTGGTCCAGGAATCCAAGCCTAAGAACCCCTGTAATCGTGACCTGTGACTTCTCCCCTGACCCCACCCCTTCCCCAGAGCGTGATCCAGTGCCCCCCACCCCCAGCCTCACAGGCCGTGCACTGCACAAGAGACAGAACCCTAGGGGGCATCATCCACCAAAGGACAATGTGAGAGTTGCCCCTGGAGTTCCGTCAGAGTAGAAGCCCTGCCCACTGCACCCTCCTAAACAAAACGGATCCACGATCCACCCCTTCCTAGGAGAACCCCCATGACCCCTTCCTTTGACTTCCCTCTGAGACACTCCTCTTTCCCTCAGGATTATTCTGGAACGTTCTTCTCCTGAAAGTTGCTGCTATAGGTGACTGAAAGTCTGGCTAATGCCGGTGGCTTCTGTCCAGCCCCGCCTCAAAGGATTTCTGGGCCTTTACAAGAGCTGGTTGCAAACCAGCCATGTGACCTTGGGAAAGTCTCATGCACTCTCAAGCTTGGGTTCCCCTCAATGGCAAAATGAGGGGTGGCCTAAGTGGTTTCCACAGTCCCTGTGGCCAGGAAAACTGGGGTTTGGAAGGGCTGACCTTGCGATACGTGACTCTGCAGCATGAACGCATCAGGGGAT